CTCAACATCATGAAAATTAAACCTTATTTTCAATAAGCAATCCAGAAAAATATTTGGGGGTGCTTAACTTTTTTCCAGGTGTATATATATAACCACAGCTTTGCCTATAAGTATATATAGATTAATAGATTTAGTCCTGTTTAGGTCATTGTATTCTGATCCAAGCAAAACTATTTATATTGTTAATACACGTTTATTGGTTGTCATTTTTGGACAGCGCTCAACTACACAATAGGTTATATCCGCTATGTCCACCGAATGGAATCGTACCCCAGCTTTTAGCGTTGTAACTCCGTAATCTTGTTGCTTAACTACCATATTAGACATATTCATTTAATGTGGAACGACATTATTTATGGGGAATCTTTTGTTACAGTGCTGTTTGCGTCAGCCTTTCCCAATTTTAATGTGATAGACTAGAGGGAAGGCACTTAGTAAATTACATCTATCACCAACTCTTGAGCTACTTGGATAGAACAGTGGGATTCTACCGACACTCTTAAGGTACACCCTCGGCCCCAAAGCGTAGAGCACGATTTTGTGACAAAGAGGGGCAAACCATGGACCTTAAGTCATTTTTTTAACATAGTGCTTATTAAGTGATGATTATTGTCCACAAAAACGACAACTAAAAGGCAATATCTTTGAAGTACTTTGAAATACCAGTAAAATATTTTATTTGATGCTCTTGGATGACCCAATCTTCACAGCAACGAACATCTGACCTGTTAACAAACATGTTCAATTTTTTACTTACTGCAGAGGTTATTTCACACACAAATAATAGTATGATAATATTAAAGGCACCACTAAGAGCTAGAATCCCACCTTGAAGATGGTGGAGGGGTGGTGTAGACCAATTGCAAAAATGAGCCCTTTTCTGAAATAGCAAAAAGAAAGGGAAAGCTCCTGGGGTGTGACTTCCATAAAAACGGGGGTTACCTAATGAGAGACTGCACTCCTTTCACGCTGGGAATATTTACTTACTGCAGAGGTTATTTCAGACACAAATAATAGTATGATAATATTAAAGGCAGATAACACGAGGAAATTTGATTATGTTTATTCACCTTTTACTATTAAATAAGACACCATTTCGAAAACAACGCAGCTGTGAGAAACTTAAATTGAGATGACACCTGTTTGCTAACCTTACCATTCTTTCTTTTTCCAGCACAAGCAAGATAAAAAGAATATATTGGAATTGTTTTATTTTGTAAAGTGGAAGTAAATATAACATAAAATAACCCACTAAGTAAACTTACATATGAACAAAACCGTCTATACTTACAAAAGCTTTAGATGATTAATCTGCTGTTCTATATGTAGTAAGTGTCAGAACACTGAATCCATCAAAACCTGTTTAACACAACCCGGTAAGTTGGTAAACACAATCGAACCACCGTTCTTTTACTTATACTGTCTTCAGTTTAAAATGCCAGTCTCTCTATAAGTACTTGTTGAGCGTAACTAGTTTCACACTGAAATTATTAGGACAAAGAAACGTGAGCATGTTATTGATTAACTGTTATAAGCGAAAATCAATTATTCAACTAAATTTATTCTAATAATACCAAACAATTTTGTTTCTCGTAACCTTGAGAGTAATATCAAACAAAGTAACATCAATTGCTTACAAGCGGCCTGATATGGCCAGGTGGTTAGGGCACGTCGACTCGCAATCTGAGGGTCGCGGG